CGGGACACTTACCGTTACAAACTGGCACCATGACCAGTGTGGGTGCTCCAGCGTTGCTTGTGCGGCCAATCCAGCGGAGCGGCGAACCCATCGCTCCTCCTTCTTCGGCGGCGGCCACACCTTTAATGAGACGATCGCAGCGCATGCGCAGATGCCCCGAGTACCTTCGCGACTACGCGTGCTCAGTCCAGGGGAAAGGGGTGTGTTGTCCTGGCCAGCAGATGGCGCTGTGTAAGTCGCCTCTGATTGGCCAGGACGCGCCTGCCAGCTGGCGGGAGAAACCAGGGTTTCTCATTGGTTCCCCATCTGACAGCTCCAAGTATAAATAGCTGTCAGACGGGGGTTTGCTGTCTTTTGCCTGTTCCAGTTCTGTTAATAAAAGTTCCTGTTGTTGCTAACCAGTCTCCTCAGTCTGTGTCCCTCAGAACTTAAAATGAGGGAGATGTGAAAGAGCGCACACGAAAACTGGTTTAATAAGGCAAATCATTCATAAGGAAACACATGTGAAGCCAGTCACCCACATACCATGAGACAAGGGCAAAAGAGATGTAGAGCACAGGACATAGGAAGGGTGGGATGTCAACTTCTGACCTCTATTTTCTGAACTGAGCCGTTTTCTTAGACTGAGCCGTGGTGACACAGTGGTTAGAGTGCAGTACTGCAGGATACTTCTGCTGACTGCCGGCTGGCAGTTCGAATCTCACCAGGCTCAAGGTTGACTCAGCCTTCCATCCTTCCGAGATGGGTAAAGTGAGGACCCAGATTGTTGGGGGAGTATGCTGACTCTGTAAGCTGCTTAGAGAGGGCTGTAAAGCACTGTAAAGCGGTATATAAGTCTAAGTGCTATTGCTATTGCTAGACACGCAAATATCTAAGCAGGGCAATCTATTCTTTGTGCCAAGACATTTGTATTAGCTTTTTATTAAAATTAATCTTACTTTTCTCTTCCTGGAGCCATTTATAAAGATAGAAAGGCATAATTACTGGGAATTGCAAGAATGGACAAACTTACATTTTTCTTTGCCTGAATGTTATTCCGAATAATTCTGCTTTAAAGAGTAATTTATCTCTCTTTTTCAAACAAACAGTTGATGTGAGGGGTCATGCTGGAGCAGGGACCATGAAATGGAGAACAGAGTTTTAATTTTTTTCTGCCTTCCACAGGGCTGACTGTAGCCAGGCCTTATTATGCCCATGTAGTTTGCAATAAGAGGAAATTTCCAGTGCAACATGTTGTATTGAGTGGACTAGCTTCAAATGCCAGTCTACCCAGTTTAAAATGAGTGTACACAGTTGGGCCAATCTTCAAAGGTTTCTTTAGAGGCATTATGAAAATAAATAGTTAAAACCAATATGATTTGATATTTTGGGTAAGAATTATTGGAAATTAGAAATAAAGGCATTGTGCCTTTAAAATGTTGGATATATTTTGTGGTTTCCGTATATAAATGTAAACAGATACCTATTTGCATAATTACAATTGTTTTTCTCTCACCCCCATTGCAACCCTGTGGTTTTCTAGTCTGGTCTTACATTTTGAGGACAAGTTAGGGGAATTGTAGAATCATTCACTTCTACTTCTCTATTTAGCATAGTCAGCTTCTGGTCTACTGTCTATTTTCTTCTCCGTTTATTCAACCTTTGTTTCTACTTTTTGGATTTTTTGTTCATTTTTCGTTATCTCACTTTGTATTTTCGCAATTTTATCATCCATTCTTCTAATCTCATCTTTCACTTCTCCCATCTCTGTTTTGAGTTCTTCATGATTTTTCCTGATCTCTTCATGATTTTTTGAAATTGTTTCTGGTGTTTTCATCATTGTTTCCTGTATCATTATTAACGTTTCCTGCATGCATTGCCTAATGCACTTTCAATTGTCCGTTGCTTTGAGGGTGGGGATGTTGTGGATGCCAGGTTGGATGCTGCCTTCTTATTCATTTTGCTAATCGCTGTTGTACTTGTCATTTTTATTTTCTGTACAATTTTCCCCCCCCACAATATCATATATTTCTCCCCACCTACTCCTTCCCCCCCTTACCAACTCTTTCAATCTTGTCCCTCTTCCATATACAGTTCAATCCAACAACTTAATTTCTATATACCAAATTTTTCATGCAAATAAATCAATATCTATCTTAATCTGTATATATAAATCAATATGTATATCTATACATATCTATCTATATCTATATCTATATCTATATCTAATATCTATATTATCTATATTATGTATTCTTTTTAAAAAGATATTATTACATGTATCTACCACATAACTAAAGAACAACCAAACTAAAGTTAATATTCCTTACCTACATCCTAATCAATATTCTACTATATTTTTTTATTCACACTATATTTTTTGTTCACACAATACTCTCCTAGGTGATCCCGTGGGAGGAGTCATTGATGGGATATTCTCAGACCCCATTTGCCTTGAGACTG